AAAAAAAAAAAAACCTTAGTCGAGCCAAGCCGAGCCGAGCCGAGCCGGCTCCTTATGAATAGTGCTGAGGAATAATTCTTATGAATAGTGCCACCACCCTTGGCTCTTTTAATATAGGTAGATTTAGTAAAGTCCTTCAATTCTGTGAATATGACAGCATACATACTAGGATGTTTTTTTTTCCATTTTCGATTTATACGTTGATAAAACATCATACATAAATTATTGCGACATTTTTTTTATATCATACTATGGAGGGGAAGTAATAATTGTTAGTTTATTAACTAACACTGAAATTCATCGATCTACTCTATTGATTGTTTAATGAATTGCGAGTAGATCATGGAAGTACAACAAATTTGGCCAAAGTTATATTAAATATATGAAAATCTGTAACTTGTGTGATCGAATATATGGACTTTACTCCACTTTGCGTTGACATAAGGTTTGACAACACTAAAAAAGTTATTAATTACGAAGATATTTCATTTGTAATCACTTAAAGCACCGTACAAGGATTTGAAGAATTTGTTAAAAATGAACCAAGTTGAGATAGAAAATGAAGAGTCTTACTTTCTAATTGTGTAGAATAAATTGTTTTTAGTTGATATTCCCTGTTTGGGCCTGATTTTAATCTAAGTCAAACAATTAATATCAATCATATTTTTCATGGGTCCCGTATCTTTTCAACCATACATTTCAAAAATTTCTATCAAAATCCATTTAAAATCTGATTTTAATCTACACCAAACACCCTTTAGAAACACTTTTATGTACCTTCTTCCTCGCTATTGTGTTTCATCCCCAACCTTTTACCGTCCCCTTCCCGACTTCCAACCACTTTTTCTTATTCGAGTGTCTCTTTAGCATACATTTGATAGTTAAAACGTCAAAATTTTCCATTGAAAGGACTTTATCTATTTATTTTGGGCAATATTGATCGTATGGAATCCGTACATTTGATAGTTAAAAAGTCGATTTCATTTGTTCGAAAAGATTTTTATACTATCAGTTACAATCGAAAAGATTTGAGAATCTCTCTACTTTTTGCCTATCTATTTTGAAGCATTGCTGATGGTCTGAAATTCATACATTTGTTAGTTAAAACGTCAAATTTTCTGTTTTTTAATCTTAGGATTACTTGAAGATTAAGTTAAGACTGCTTGGCTCCATTTAGACTTTAACGCGGATATTGGATATCCCACGGTGGGTCTCCCTTCATTAAGAAAAAGGAAAATGCTAAGTGTACATTAGGGAGTACATAAGGGTGTCCATAATGGACACCCGGCGCCCCCTATTGGATGAAGTGTTAGCCCCACCTGCACTCCATTCAGTAGGGGAGCGCCAGGTGTCCATTATGGACACCTTTATGTATCCATTGATATACTTGTAGCATAACTCTAAGAAAAAACACTTCCAATTATATTTTTGGAATTAAATTATTTTACATTCTAACACGCGACTTATTTGACTGAAAAAATTGCAATGTTGGTCCCCAATTTATGGTTTGTATAACAAGTTGGTCCCTACTCTTTTAAATGTAGCATTGGATCCTCAATCTTGCAAGCCATTTGAAACCCACTTGTTATTTTCTTTTAACTTTTTTTTTTTTATGAGGGGGAAAAAGGGTGCAACACGAGGACTTCCCGGAGGGTTTTAACTAAAAAGGATTGATTTTCTTTACATAGATCCAAGTTGTACACTATAAAAAGGTATACAAATCTTGGTGTTGAAGGTTGCAAAATGCCGAAAGTCAAGGACTGAAAGGTAAATTTCTTATGTGGTCATTATTGAATTTTCATTTGGTTTAATCAATACTGCTTTTCAATTTATTTTCAAATTTCACCGCTCCATCACTTGTCTTAACTTAAATTCATAGAATTTAGTTAATCGATAGACATACACAACAACCGATCTTTCTCGTTGCCTTTGCCTAAGATGCAAATTTACGAATACACGACTTTATAAAATTGTTAAAAAAAAAAAGCACGTCTATTAACCTTTCATTATGAAAATATTATCGCAAATGTTATTTTACCATTTTCGTTTTAAGGTACTACATAGTGATTACGGGAGATTAATTACAATATGACTTCTAATGAAGTTGTTTTTATAATTTTTTTTTGGGAAAATAGGTGAATGAATGTGATACTTTATGAAATTTGAAATAAAATTGTGGTTCTATTACTCATTGACATAAATTAAAGTTGAGTAATGTTATTCATCCCCAGTGAAATTACAAATACCATTTAGGTGGCTCTAAATGATTGGTTAAATAAAAGGTGAAATTAAATGACTTATTTAATTTCACATATCATTTAATGTCACTTAGACTGTGTTTGTAATCCCAATGAGGATGAATAGCATTACTCATTAAAGTTAGGTGATTCAAATAATATTTTGCTATAAATTCATTGCAAACTTATCAGTCATAAGTGAATACACAAATGTAAAATGTTATCCATTAATAAATGAATAATGCTATTAGCACAACTTTTGTTAAAACATATATTAATGTGGCATTAAATAGAAAATATAATTAAATGACACTTAGCCTCTGTTTGGGAGAAATTCTTTTCTGAAAATGTATAAGAAATTGGACCATTAGTGTACTATTGCTTGAAGTTACAGTACACTACTCACTGTACAAGCAGTGAGAAATCAGAGGCGAATTCCAATTATACCTTTCATCCAACCGTTATGCCATTACTGTTGCAATCTCTGCAAGGGCAAAACCGGAAAGCATAACCACATGGCAGTGAAATCATTCAAAGTTACTGTAGTCAATCAGGTTGATTTGACACAAAAAAATATATTATTTGTGGAAAAATGGTTACCAAACGGAGCCTTAATTTCATATTGCATGAGCCTGTCACGTAACAACACCTAAACTATTATTATATCACCAATGATGTTAATTAATATTATTCTTAATAAATAGACTTACCATTTAATATCGTCTCGATTGCAATTAACACCGTACTTACTAACATCATTCAATGAGAAATCTTTTCTCCTTCTTTTTGTCTTAATTACTCTGTTCCTCTCCAGAGATTATGCCTTAATTACGCTCGCCTGTATCTGCACATAAATATCAGTTACAAGAATGGTACTGCCCCAGTTTTTTTCATTGTTTTACTTTTGTCATGAAGATGAAAACAAAGGGTTACTTGAGAAATAAGCACATAATTTTTAAAGATACCGTGATTTGAGTGGATTGTCGGCCGACTAAAATTCTTAAGAGATTATGTTGAAATCTTGAGAAGGATCATTTCGTTTTTCTGGGCTCACAAACACACCTGGTTTGATTTCTTCACGTAACTCGAACGTCAGTATCTCCATTTTTCTTAGTGCCAAGTTTTCTCTTCATTTTCTTGGCTTTTACTCTCTCTCTCCCTCCCAGAATTTCTGCGAAATTTGTGGGGGACTATCGTGGAAAATTAGAAACAGATTTCAAGTCATTTTCCAAGAAAATTGAAAATCCATAGCGTAGGATATGTATTGAAACCAATGACTAGTTTTTTCCTTTTTTGTCTATTTATAAATTTTGTCGGGTTCTTTGATTTCAACGTCGCCGAGTTTCCCGGAAAAAAGGTTAATTAATTTTGATGAAGATAAAAAAATAAATAAATATTGAAAAGGTCTGGTCATTCCCCAAAAGTCAAACAATAGTAATCGATAGAGTGGTATATAAGGGAAATAGATCCCCTTAATTTTCTCTGTGTTTTTTCTCCTCCTTCTGGGATTCCTCTGTCTAGGAGAGAGAACCAGTGAAAACCCTCTCTCTTTATCTGTTTGAAGAATCATAATGTTGATTTTTGACAAGGTTTCAATGCAAACAAACCTTGAACGCTTTTTGGATTGTGTAACTCCAGTTGTTCCATCCCATTTGCTGCCCAAAGTATGTTCTTTTCCTTTTTCTTTCTTAAAAACAAAATTTAACGATCTAATTGTATCCACGTTGATGGTGAAAGGCCTTCTTTGTGGGTTTACATTGAATCTTGTTGATGTTTTGGCCCTTTTGTTGTTTGATAATTTTGTGAACAGAATGACTTGATGAATCTGAATAGTTTATGGCATCCATGGGAAAGAGAAAACTTGAACTATTTTACATTGGGTGATGTCTGGAATTGTTATGATGAATGGAGTGCTTATGGGGCTGGAGTTCCAGTTACTCTCGATGATGGCCAAAATTTAGTGCAGTATTTTGTTCCTTATCTGTCTGCTATTCAAATCTTCACCAGCAATTCTTCTGTAAACTGTGTAAGGTAATCTAACCGTGTTCACATTTTCCGATTCTTATAGAGTCTTGGAGTTCCATCTTGAGGAATAGCAAGTCGTTATATGTTGATTATTATTTTTTTTTGTAGTTAAACGATTCAGGATTTTACATTAGCAGAAATTAGTATTTGATTCAATTTGAGTTGGTAAAAATCGAAAATTTTAGTTGTATAAATTTGGATTTCTTCCAATTGAATTAGTGTTGGTAAAGTTTTGTTTTTATTTGTTTTGATGTATTTATTTATGAATTGTGAAATAATTATTTATTTTGGATTGATAATATGAAATAGGGAAGAGACTGACTCCGTAAGTGAAACAAGGGATTTCTTTAGTGATTCATTGAGCGACGAGAGTGATAGCGAAAAGCTTTCGAGATGCGATGGGTCGTCTGAGGAAGGATTATTCGAGCACGATAACTTTCGGGTTCCCAATGATAGATTGGGTAATCTTTACTTTCAGTACTTTGAGAGAAATTCTCCTTATGGAAGAGTTCCTCTAATGGACAAGGTAACTCCGCTTTCTAGTTCATGTTTACGGGTCTAAATCTTGATGAATTTTTTGTCTTCTCCCTTTTCATTAAGTTATCTGTATTTGGAGATGGAGAAAAGAGTATCAAATCGTTATGGATATGATCGAATCACTTCAAAACCTTTTCTTCATAGGAATCTGGCTTTGAAAACGAATAAACTTACTTCTTTTTATGCCATTTTTCATGAAATTGTTAATCTTGTCCATCATATAAGAAAATGTGATTCCTTGTGAAACATGATGTTTGGTATATTTTCATATATTTGACTCCTTTAACAGATCAATAGCTTAGCTCAAAGATACCCAGGATTGTTGTCACTAAGAAGTGTAGATCTTTCACCTGCTAGCTGGATGTCTGTTTCTTGGTTCGTCTCTATTTCTATTGAACAGTTTTTGTGTATTGTTACTGATTTTTTTAACCCGTTAACGTTTATAACCATAAAAATGGAAGACTGGATGTCTAAATTTTTTGATGTGAATGACATTCAGGTATCCGATTTATCACATTCCAATGGGAAGAACCATGAAAGACTCGAACACAGGCTTTCTCACATACCACACCATTTCTTCTTCTTTTCAAGGTAAGCACTTGGTTCAAATGAATTCGGACGTGTTTGTATTTGACATCATTTTAAAACGAGTGTCAATTATGATTTGCAGATATGGACCTTGAGGACAACACCGAGAGTGCTGAAAGTAAAAGAAAGGAAGGAGAAAGCATCTCTCTCCCTCCATTTGGTATGGCCACTTATAAAATGCAAGGCGATGTGTGGGTCTCGACCAAGAATGGCAGGGATCAAGAGAGGCTGGTGTCTCTTTTAAGCGTTGCAGATTCCTGGCTAAAGCAATTAAAGATCCAACACCATGACTTCAACTACTTCACGGGATTTGGTTCGGGTAAAACCAGAACCAACGATATTTTTTCAAACTACACAATACGGACCAAATATTAGAATCTGGTTTTTTGGTTTTCTGTGCTTGTGTTGATAGGAAGTATGAAAACTAGTGGCTTTAGGGTGGGATGAGTGTATGACTCCACTTTGTTGATATTTTAGCATTAGGATCTGATCTGATTGCTCAATGGCTTCATTCTTGTTTTTAAGTTTTGCAAGCGATCGGTTTTGATTTGTGGGGAAGTGAACGAATAGAGAGAGAGAGAGAGAGCTTTTGTAACTCTGAACTAATTCAATGCTCGTATGTAGAGGAAAGCAATGCTTGTAGCCCTTGCACATCTTGTTTGTTCTGTAACATACATGAGCTTTTTTTTTTTTTTTTTTTTTTTTTTTTTT